TCCCCTCAAAGAGTACGTTAAGCTTTTGGGGGAGTGACAATAGGAAACATCAAAATGATGGAAAAGCATACTAAGTAATTACAATAACGCCATTGGCGGTCCCCCTTACAAAATACAAGTAAAGCCCACCCATGACACACATGTTGACACCATGAAGGCACGCGGTTGGCACTCGGATGGTTCACTGTAGGTGCTTGATGGCGCGGCGAAGGAGTCACTTGTGACATAGGGGCACAAATGGGGTTCCTTGATTTGACGAATTTCAACTTTATTGGTCTCAGGTTCAGGCTCCAATAGTCCAATCTATTTAATTTTTAAGAATTTCTCAATCCAATCTGATCCAAGTTGCACGCCCATGCATGACTGGTTGGAGCCCTTTCAGATGCATTTCTCATCACAGACTGCTTTGTTCTTTTCTGCCTCTATCTTTCAATATTATCAGCTACATCCCCAAGAGGTTGATTTGGTACTAAAATCCAGTAACTTGCTTTAAATACAGCCTCCTACTCAAACTAGATGGAGGCAGCGTATGATTTTCCACTCCTGTGCCCCCCTTCAAAGCTTAAACAATATTGACATACTTACTTTAGAGGACTCTATCACAGTGGAAAATACACCTCTATCACATTTGTCGATGCCTACAAATGCAAGGCCTAATTCCATGTTCCCACTGGCCCCCTTTTTTCTGTTTAAAATTTCTTTTGCCTGTTCAAACTTCAAACTGAATGAAAAGGCCAAATAACTTTGGATGTGGCCTCCTCAGCATGATTTGCCAGCTCGTTGGCTCAGGAGAGACATCTTCCGTTGTTTCAATGGACTCAACACATGTTACAGGTTGGTGCCATGTAACGTATGGGTGACCCTTGATTGATATCTGTTCGGTTGATTTTCTTAATAACCACTAAGGACGCTGACTCCGTTCTTGGTATATGAAGATGTTCAGCAATAAGCACTCTGTGCATCTGTGTAGCATTATGACAAGTTTTGTCCAAGGCAAGGTTCTAAATATTGATACGGACGTATCGGACAGTATCAGTTTTTTACTTTTTTTTTTTATTTTTTTCAAAACTGGTTCAGGGGAGGCGGTTTAAGGTTCCTCCACCCCTGAACCAGTCAGAACCCCGATACACCCTCTGTAGAGATGTATCGGGGTGCTCCCGATATGATATGTATTGGCTGATACATGTCAATTTTGAACTTTGGTCCTGCGTGGAGCTCAGATATCCTGCCTGCCCACATTCTGTTCGTCACGACTTTTCGTAAGAAAAGTATTATCATCATCATTTGGATGGTTTTAGAACCTTTGATCAGCTGGTAACCATTCGACGAAATGTCTCACAGCACACGCGTCAATTCCCAAGCTGAAGTTGTCATTCGAACCTCCATTGAAAGGGTCCTCTACAAAATGGAAGAAACCCTTCACCATAATAAACTTCTTTCCAGGGAAATCATGCTCCAAAGTATTGATACCGCCGTGTATATATATATTTCAAAATTTGGCTTTTGGGTAGGTTTTTATATGTATTGTTTACGATACGATATTGAAATTTTGATTTAAGGGCAACCTGACTCCACTATCCAACACATTGTATATATATTGGCATCTCCGTGCAAAGCTGGGGGGGAAAGAAATCGCACGTAAGGAGTCCGGATCTTCAGTTCACCCAATCACACGTAAACACGTGTTCTGATGATTGGTTACCTAGTATAGCGAATCACAAATGACACGTAGGAAGGGCACTTGATATGTGTCAAAGTCATTTTTAGTAAGGTTTAAGTTTGGGTGTGCTTAAGCACTTATTTGAAAAGCCCAAATATGGGGTTATTTTTAAGTGCTTATTTCCTTTCTTTCGGGCCAATCTTGGCCCATCATATCATTTTTAAAATACATATATTACCACTGCTTAAAATAAACGTTTTTTTATTCACCAAATGCTCACAAGTGCTCATTAGAATAATGACTTGTTTTTGAGCACTCAAGTAATCAATCACTCTCAAACTTTGCCCTAAATTATATTATGAACTTTTGGAGGTAACGGTGGTTCACTATTCAATACAATTGCTTAATAGTGTTCCCGGCGGTACCAGAGTACGGATTCAGTCCACAAAACTGATCTCATAAACATGCACAAGGAACATCTCCGTGTTTATGTTTTATTCATGGGGAGATATTTTCAATACACAGCTGCAAGTGATTGAACACGGTCGTTGATTCATATCTTGCGCTGGGTGAAATGGTCAGGGTACTTATTTGTCCAGGAAAAATGGATGCTCAATGGAACGCTCAAGCTCGTTGGATCATACATTTTGTCTATTTCCTAGTTTGGCATGCCATATAATACATCAAGTTCAGAATGCCATAACTCCAAAACTAAAAATCTAACAAACGGTGATTGCCATGGCTAATTGACTAGCCAAGCCGAATTCCCTGAGCTTAAAACCAGTCAACCCTGAGAGTCACATTTCATGGGATACAAAGAGAAGCAACTGAAACAGGACATCTGAACCACATGCCAACCTTTTGACCTTGAACATTTCATCCAGTTTGTCTTAAGAGGTTCTCTGTCCAATTGTTATCAACCATTTCTTTAAAGAAATGGGGAAAAAATAAAAAAAAACTATTGAGATAACCATGAAGCCTAGCTTGTTCTGTTGAGAATGCGGACATATAAAAACCAAAATGACAAAAAACAGTAAACCCCCCAGACATCCAGGCAATAACAAATATGCTAGTAACCAAGCACTTAAGCACAGAAGGGCGGACATCTGGGAGAACCAGCTCAGTCTATGGCCTATGCATATTAATGGTACATGAACAAAACAAAAATCATCGGCACAAAATTAGACAGTCTAGAAATTGAGAAATGGAAATCTAACATTAACTAAGAAGAAACCATTTACTTACACCACCTTTTTTTTTCTTAAGAGTTTACAAGAAAAATCATTGCAAGAACATCCCAAGCCCTTTGTGAGAGAAATCCCACTAAAATTAATTGGCAAGAAATCCTTTCACGGGATAGATTACCTACGTACAGGTGGCACAACACCCCTACCAGGTGCAGCACCACGACCAGCAGCTTGAGCCTGCATGGATGACAAGGGGGAAGGCAAATAATCCATGTCAAAATGCCATCTTCGTTGTAAAAAGACTAATAATAGGTGACCTACGTTCTCAAAAGATATTCACATTTTTTGGTGCTTTATTATCCACTTTCATGGTGAAGGCTTTCGCCTTCCTGTTTCCCAATGGAGCCAATAAATATTATCCAAACATGCTAATGAAAAATCCAATTGCACTTGCACTCCCCCGCCCGCCCCAATAAAACAGAAAGAGAATCTTTTTTTGTCCTCTCAAAACATCTTGTGATTGTGACTACCAGTACCATTTTTTTTTTTTTATTATAGCTGGATAGTCTTTGGGACTTGTGCACTGCGAATCCCAAAGACTACCTAAATGCAGGAAGTAAAAATGAGAACTTACTCTAGCCCGCATTGCAACAGCACGACCACGGCCAACTCCAAGGGATGAGCCTTTACCCTTCAAGAAGAAATATATAAAATTAAGCAGATCTATACAAAAATCTTGGAAAATAAGAGTAGGCATAAGCATGACATTCTTACCTTGATTTTAGCATCCAGACGCTTGAACATTGGAGCATTCTTTAGCATATCTGGTATGACCATAAACCTGAAGGAAACCGTGGTTGCCATTAGGAAACAGATGCAATTAATTACTAATAAATAAATATTCCCAACTAGTAGATCTTAAGGCTGCATTAAGTAAGAGTGTAGAACTGAAGCGCATTTCCATTCTACTGGAAATGAATGCATATTTGTTTTTTCAACTGTTATTGCACTTAAAATGAGAGCACAGTTTTTTCAAAAAAGGAAGCAAACTTTGAACTCAAAGTTGGTCATTGTAGAATAGATTGGTTCCAGCATTGAGATTCGTATTTGCACCCATCACAACCAAACAAGACATTATAAATTTATGAGTGCAAAACTGAACAGGGTTTGCATCCTTCTTATTGAATAAATTTGCATTCATACTAACCAAATACAGCCCAACAAATAAAATTGCAAACATTAGTAGTGGCAGTTGAATAACAAGAACAATAACATTTAGCTACCTGACTTTGCTACCTCGGACGAAAACATGCTCGAGCTGTGAGACCTTCCCATCCTATGGATGAGATAATAGCATTAGCTACAAATGTAAAGCCATAACATAGATTAAACAAAGAATAACTGAATATCAAGGCTGACATAAAGAATTATACTCAAATAACAAAAAGAAAAGTATGACCAAGTATTTCTTCTTGCCCTTTTTTCTTTTGTTTTTTTATCATTTCCTCTCCTTTTTGGAAGGGGGCCAAGGGGCTGTAGGTTAAAATAAGAGGTGTTTGTATAGGTAGCTCTCACAAATCATAGTGTACCAGTTAATACTAGGGGAAACCTCATTTACCCTCACCACATAAATTTTTACTTTTTTGTACAGTTGGGAACAGTGAAGGTGGGGTATTGATGCCAATTCAAGGGGGGATGTGGTGGGTTAGGTGGGGGTATTGGAAGTTTTGAAATGTTGTGAGTGTTAGGTGGTGTTATAATTTATGGGGTGGGTTTCAGTCAAGTTTTCCCTTAATACTATCACTTATCAGTTGAAGATTAATGTGTTGGAATAAAAAAATTAATAGTAAGTAGTGACCAAACTAGTCATGTGCTTCTTTTTTGTGTCTTAATTCTTAAACGGTTGTGGATTCCCATCATACTCAACGGATCCAACAACTCCATCCTTGTGATTCCCTCAGAGAGAGGGGAATAAACAAAGCATTCACAAAGTTCATAAAATAATATTAATTTGAAACTATGGTAAAAAAAAAAAATTGCAGCAGATACAACTTAATAATGTAATATGCCCATCAAAGTACTAGTACAAAATTGAATAGCAGAGAGGGGGGGGATATTAAAATTAGCAGTTAGCTCCATATGATTAAACTTTGTCAGGACTCCAAATAATGTATCCCCGGGTCCTATGTTCACCAAGATTTTTCATTGAATACCAAATTGCTTATTCTAATCTAATTTTGAAGTTCTAATAATGCGTCCTTGGGGCCAATGGCATAAAAGGCAGGGTCAGAATGGTATCCTCCCCAGTCCCCATGACCAAGTAAAATATGTTTCATCAACATTTATCACCAAATACCGATTTTTTGTCATGATCTTTTTTTTTTATCAATATTTTTTTTTTGTCATGATCTAATTCTTCATTCCCAGTTTATGTACTCCCTTGTAGACCAGCAAAGTAAGTCCTGAAATCCACACCAATACAAAAAATAAATACATGTACTGTACCAATTGCTATCTGACATTAGAGTTCGAGGTACTTGGGAGTTCAGTGTCTTCGGCTGTAGTTTGAATCTCCATTTTAGTCAGCTCTCCTCAGGGTGCAACGAATTTTTCTTTAGTCAAAAACCGCATAACAATGCCTTAGGGTTTTGGATAGGGTTGTTAAGGTGATTTAGGGTTTATCAGGCTTCAAGTATATAGAAATTCTCAAAGATATAAAGCAAATGGGCGATTCATTAAGAAGGAATTAGGACAAGGCCAATGACGAATACCAATAATCGATGTTCTTAATTTCTTATTTCTCATAAGGTCCTAAGTCCTAAGGTCTAAGGTTTACACATTCGAATCAGAAAACCTGAGACCATATAACTATACCAATTTATAAAGAGAAGATAACCAGAAAACAAGCAACAGCATCGAAACTTTTAGAAACCGAAGAAAGAACAAGCAGGAAGAAGAGAATACTTTCGCAGTAAAGGTGATATTTTCTAGTTGGCAGTTCCAGTTGTCTTCGCATTCAATCATGGTGCCTCTGTAAAGCTCCCCGCTCTTTAGTTCCACGGTCACTACATGCCCTGCTGCTTCGTGCAGAAGCTTTACTGGTATCCCCAAGCTCCTGCTCATAGCTGCTTCTCCCTGCCCGAGTGGTTTTTCCTCTGTTTTCTGTCCGACTGTCGCCTGAAAAACCCTAATAGCGCCCGTTCCCAATACCAATTAAAATGTTTTAAATCCCAAACGAGAGATCGATCCGGCTATTGAGTTCTGAGTTCTCCGACCCGATCAAGGTTTTAATACTGATCCTGGCCTCCTGGGTCCTGGATCAACCCGATTGTCATTACTCAGTATTTACTTGTTTATATTTTCTGGCCATTTTTGCCATGTATCCCGTGTTTGGAGCGACACCTACCATCGAATGGACACCAGTTATGGGGTTAAAGTCATCTCATCTAGAATTTCCAAACTGACAAGATTAACAGTTCAGGAAAACACCCGACTAGTAAAACCCAGCCGAGCAAGATAATGCGCCGTGTTAAGGGCCTAAGGCTGCAATCAAGTCGGATTCGGAAGAGATCCGAAAATCCAAAATATTGGATTTGGATTTAATCGGGCTCTACTTCATTGTGAATAAGATAAAGAAAATATATATATATATATATAGCAGGCGTTCGGTTTTATCACCGTTATTCGGAAAATGGTGCCACGTCAGATCTAGTTCGGCACTGGCCTTTTTTTTTTCGAAAAGTTGTTTGGTTTACGTGTTTTTTGAATAAATGCCGAAGTTGTCGAGATAGGATCTTGTCCTATTAATCAAGTGAAAGCTTGGGTTGGCTGGGCTCTCAAATTCCGTCAATTAATGGTCATTATTGAAGGCGATTTGTAGTTGGTGATTTATGTTCTCAGATTTGAGGTGTCTCGAATTAAGATCGTAGTACACTAAGATTGTGAAATCAAGAAAAAAATTAGAGGCCTAAGGAATTGTTTCTCTCGAGCAGGCATTCTAACGCTCAAGTCAGTGATATGAAAGACAGGTGGTCGGACCGAGTAGATGAGAATAATGTTGATCCAAGCAAAGGAGGCAAAGTAATAGTCTAGGGAGTCAAAAGTCCCTTACCTTGAGTGGAGGTTATTTATTTATAGTCGAAGATCCATGTCCAATTCGGATGAGACTTCCAGGGTTGTTAGGATGAGGTTATCCGTCGAAGTCTTCGGGACAAGTCCTCTTCCCCGGCGGAGTTATCTTCCTTATCCGTACGGGGCTCCGCTTCTTAGCCACGCTTATCCGTTCTGCATGGTGCCGACGTGGCTAGGGAGATAAGACAACCACGGAGGCTACCATGCGGCACCTGGCCTCCGTGGCCAGCTTAACCATAACCCAAACACCAATCCCCCAGTTCTGAAGTCGATGAGTGTAGTGCTCAACCGTGGTGTGACGTGGAAAAGCTCTGCAGTTCTCAGTTGAGGAACTTGAACTTTGGCTGAGCATGCTCTCCGAGCTGAGTGGCCCGAGGTAAAGCCGGTTTGTTGGGTGAACTGGCCAGTTCGACACATGTCATTTCTGAGATGGGTTGGCGGGTGCATCATTTCATTCCCTCGAGCTATCAAAGGGCGGCGTTGAATCGACATCACTGATCTGTCTTGGTCTGGGCCATTGGGTGTCCTATAAAAGGGAAATGGAGAGCCATTTCACTTTGTCATTTGCGAAGAGTCTTCTCTTTGGAGTTCGGCGAAAAGTAGTCCTCAGCTAGTGCTTCGATCTTCTATAGTGTAATCTTCATTATCCGATAAAGATGTATTTTTCCTTATCCTTTGATTCTTCTTGCTTGTCTTCCTCTTTTGGTTTAAGTAGTGAGTCCGAGCAGAGGTTTCTTGTCGAGGCTACTGCACTCATGGTCCGTGAGGCCGATGGCCAAGGGGTCGAGGTCGACAAATTCGGGGGTGAGAATGCGGAGCTAGAGGAGGTCGTGATCTGGGGAGACGAGGCCGACGAGGCCGAGGTAGAGTTAGTGTCCGAGGAGGGGCCCAATGTCCCTTTGTGGCTTGGCAGCTGCTTCGAGTCTACTCCTTGTTGTTTGACTCCTGGAAATCTGGCCCGAATCAAGGTTCTATATTGCATTCCCAAGGAGTACAAGTTGAGATGTCCAAGTGTTGGTGAGCAAGACACCTCGGCTCAGCCTGGCGAACTTCGCGTCTACAAGCATAGTTTAATGGTTGGGCTAAGATTCCCATTGAGCGAGGGTATAATTGTAGTATTAAGGTGGTACCGTGTCCAGCCAATCCAATTGATGCCCAATTCCTTTAGGTACTTAGTCGGCCACCTCTACTACTGTTCGGTCCACAACCTTGAGGTTACCTTGCCGATTTTTGTCTACTTTCTACAACTGAAGAAGCACTAGCAGGGCTATTACTATTTCTCGGCTCGACAGCATAACAAGGTGCTCGTCGGGGCTCCGTCTTCGATGAAGTGCTAGAAGGAGAGATTCTTCTTCGTGTGTTGCCCTGGAGGATGGTCGTTTCCCATTGATCTTCTTAAGCCGAGAACCAAAGTGAAGGCACCAATTGAGGTTGATCTTTTCGAGGAGGAGTTGGCGTCTATAAGGCAAATAGAGAGGATAGACGTGCTCGAGTACACGTCATTCTCGATGTTGATTCGTGCTGAGCTGATGAGTGACATGACCGAGCACTACCAGTCCAGTTCGTAGGTTATACTAGGTCTTCTCCTTCGCTTTCCAAGATTTTTTCCTTGTACTGATTCCATGCTGGCTTGTGCAGGTACTGACATGGCTAGTTTTGAGGAGATGGCCTAGTGCATAAGGGCTACGACGGAGAGGACACAACCAGCCAGGACTCTGGGTGCACATCCATGGCCTCGACAGGCAAAGAGGCCGGGGCTTCCAGAGGAGGTAGTGGTCATCAATTTGGAAGAGGCCGCACCTCAGTCTGATCACCAATCGCCGCTGAGGGAGTGCGAGCCATAGTGTACTGTGGCAGGGAACTCGGTGAGCGTATACATACCATGATGGAGTGTCCAGATGGAGGATAGCCTCGAGACGAAGGGGGTCCCCGAGCAGCTCATCCAGGGTCTGATGCTCCTCGTCACCAGACAGGATATCAACAGTCTAACCAGCAGCTCTCTAGAGAGTGTGACCCTACGCCAGATAGCGGCAGTAAGTTCTTTCCCCTTCTCTTTGGTTGTTCACTACTTCTTCGCACGCTGCAACACCTTTGTGAGGCGCGAGAGGTAGAATTCGAGCAAGTGAAGGCAGAAAAATGCTGAGCCGAAGGCAGAGCTGTCTGAGCTAAAGCACAGCGTAGAAGAAAGGGATGACAATATTCGCAAGCTGAAGAGTCGCGTCCATGAACTGAAGGAGGTGTGGAACACGCTAAGGAAAGAGCTCAGGATGCCAAGGTGAAGGTAGCTCGGGTAGAGGAAGAGGGGATCTCTAAGTACAAGGCCTTAGAAGCCTATCAGAATGCCCCGGATGACTTTGCCACCGAGTCTTAGTAGTAGGGGTTTGCTTTTTGCCAGTAGAGGACCATGTGCTGCTTTTCGAAGGTGGCTGAGGCTGTTCAAGGGTTTGGCCCTTTTGACCCCCTACGCCTGGTAGAGAGGACGTTGTTTCTGAGTTCCAAGAGCGAACCGAGGAGCCCCCTGTCGTTGATTGAAGTTTTCGTCTTTGTTTTTGTTATGATGTACACGGCTCGGTATGCCGAGCCTTTTGACTTGTAATTATTTTTGCCAATTAATGAAAGATCAAGTTTTTTTGTCTTGAGCATTGTGTTCATTCTTTCCTTTCTGTTATACTTAGTAAACGGATCGATCATAGGCCTCGCTCTTGCCTTGGCTAAAGTGTTGGGTAGCCAAGATCATGTAGTTCATGTCTTCGGCTTTGCGTTGGTCGAGGGGATTCCGAGCTCTTGACGTCTTGGGGATGCTTGGTGGTGCTTGGTCTTGGGGAGCCTTGTGCTCTCTTTGGGCTATTTGTGTTCCTCGGCTAGCTTTTCTCTAACGGTTTGTCAGTTGGGTGTGCGGAGTTCAGTGGCTGCCCTCTCGCCCTTGGGGCCAGGAGTGTTGTTTCCATTTTGGGCTTTAACCGTTCGAGGTCGGCCAAGTCTGTTAGCCGTTTTAGGTTGGCTTTGCGCTGTCCGGGTATGAAGGTGTGTGTGGTGATGTGTGCGTGCTGTGCGCGGGCACCTCAGCCGTTAGAGTTCGGTTGGGTGGTTTGTGCAGTGCACGCTAGTGTGCTATGCTTTGGTACCTTAGCCATTAGAGTTCGGATGGGTGGTGTGTACTACCCAGTTGGATGAAAACAGAGCACTTAATTAACTGAGCTATTGATAGTGCATCCTTAGGTTGACTGTGCTCCAGCTCCTCAGAATGGGCTTTCCGTCGAGGTCTTCTAGTTTGTAGGTGCTTAGGCCGGGGACCCTGATTACTCTGTACAACCCCTCCTAGTTTGGTTCGACTTTCCTTATCCTAGTGCCTATACTATGACTTTGTAGAGGACGAGGTCACCTGTCTTGAATTCCCTTCTTTGGACTTTAGAGTTGTAGTACTTGGCCATCCGGTGTTGCTGCGCTGCGATTCTGAGGTGTGCTCAGTTGTGGGTTTCTTCAACTAGGTCGAGTTCTGCACGAAGATCTTCACTGTTCTGCTTGTTGTTATAGAGCTCGGTCCGAGTAGGTTAGCCAATCTCTATGGGGATCATTGCTTCAAACCCGTATACTAGGCTGAACAGTGTCTCTCCGATAGTTGTTTGTGGTGTGGTCCTGTACGCCCAAAGGATGCTAGGCAGCTCTTCGACCTACCTTCCCTTGGCCTTGTTAAGTCTGGTTTTCAGGCCATGGAGTAGGGTTCGGTTGGTTACTTCAGTTTGTTCGTTACTTCAATGATGAGGACCCAAGGAATACCAAAACAACAAATGATGCTCTACCATAAGAAATTTCGGGCATTCTACGCGGTGATGTGTGCCAAGTGCTCGACCTCCACCCACTTGGTGAAATAGTCTACCGCGACTAGGAAGAACTTCTTCTGCCTAGCTGCGGTAGGGAAGGCTCCGAGGATGTCCATTCCCCATTGGGCGTAGGGCCACAGACTAGTGATGGGCGTTAGGGGAGTGTTGGCCGATGGTGGAGATTTGAATGTCTCTGACAGTGACCACACTTCTTAACGAGTTGAGCTGCATCCTGCTTCATGGTGGGCTAGAAGTATCCTTGTCAAAGTGCCTTGTGAGCCAAGGTTCAGGCGTCAGGATGG